TCTTCTTGTAATTCCAAGTCTACACCATATCCATTTTTGCTTGGAACAGAACCTTTTGGTGCATAGCTATTAAAAATGTCGAACCACATATTTATATCTCTAATATACGTTTCATTGATAATAATAATTGATTCATAATAAACGTTTCATTGATATTCACATTCAATTCTTTCCATAAACTTATGTTACTGCAACTACAGTCACTGACGCGAGCTACTACATTATACGATAGTAAATAAAGTTCTGCTATTAATTTTAAAAGTATTTCTCTTGTCATTTTTTGATCAAACCCGATGTAAACAGGTTGCTTTCAATTTGAAAAAAGAAGTTATTATTGCAACCATACACAGCACGCCTAGTACTCAGCATTTTGTTCTTCACCTAACACAGTGTTTCTCAACCTCTAACAAATCGTCGCCCTCTTCAACATAGTATCGCCCCGTTTACTTTAAAAATTCGATGCCGAGGGCCAAGGCTAATGCGAAATTCGTACTGCATTGAATAGACTAGTTACTAGTATAATGTTATTCGTTTAATTATTGTACGATATAACGAATAAAATATCTAATTAATCTTAATATAATGTTTTACTATATCTTTCAGAAAGTTGTTTTTCGTCCTTCAAAATATAAATTGTTATAAATCGCTCTTTCAACATGGGAAAACGCCCACATTGGGGCGATATCGCCCTCGTTGAGAAACACTGACCTAACATAAAAATATACCTTTAAATATTTAATGACTTATATTTAAATCATCTTACCTTATAAAAAACTTAGTCAAATAAAACAATTATAGAAATATAAAAATAAATCACTTCGTTAATCACAAAATTGGACGAATAGTAATCGAGTTATCTTAAGTGATTTTGATGTTAAATTAAATATGAAATTTGTGCTTAATATAAAATAGTGACATTTTCCATTTATCTATCCACATTTTTATTTTTTTAATAGAATATTTGTTTCCTAGTGCTTTCTATTTTAGAAATCAAAGTTCTTTTTAAATAAATATTTTTATTTTTTAGACTCAAATCTTTATTAATTTTTTCATGTTAATGGAAGTTTTATGATCAAACTAAATTATAACATTCTTTAAACATTAATCTTAAATCCCTTAGATAAGAAAATCAAACTTTCTTCTTTTGTTTTATTATATCTAAATTTACAAATCTGTTGTATATTTATTTTCAGTGATTTGCCAGAACAAGATAAAGGAAATGTTGGTTTTGTATCTAATCATCATTCTTCTCGATAAAACTATATCATCTCCCTCCATTTTTGAAAAGGAACATTGGGTATTCACTCTGTTCTTCTTGTTGGTAGGATTGAGGTAACTGTTTAATATTTTTAACAGTTTAAAAACTAAAAGTATTTATTTAACGTCGACGTCATCACTCAGTGGTGGGAAATTTCATTTCTTCTAAGAGAGAAAACATGTCTTAACTTCTTTGGAAATTCCATAAACTAAACAATTGCAATTGAAGCATCGTTTAGTTAGTTAAACGTCGGCCTGTCATAAAACTGCTTGAACATAACAAGAAATGAACATTATCCATTGTTTAGGCATCAATCGTAATCGCGGAATAACGTCAAGATGGCCGAACGGTCTAAGGCGCTAGACTCAAAGTAGACTCTTGCTGTAAATGCGGAATTGTGCATTCTGGTCCACGATGGTGGTCGTGGGTTCGAATCCCACTACTGACACGAACTTTTCTTATGAGTGATTGATTGAAAATGTCTTTTTTAGTGTGACGTAAACGTTTGGAAGACATTTTGTAATTCTTTTGATTCGAAACAGTAATGCTAATTGGGTCAGAACTTTGCAGCATGTTGAATTCCGTTTTGAAACCATCGCTAAAGTAGAATAAACATATGGAAACGTTGCAAAGCGTCGAGCAGAAACTCTGCTTCGTTGCACGTGTGTGAAGCAGAGTTTCTGTTCTAAATTCAAAGCAAAGCAAGTTTCTGAATTCTACTGTCGCTGTCGCCTTCAATTATATGAACGTTGACAGGGGTAAAGAAGAAAAAAACGCCCCACCGCGATTTAAACTCGGATCACTGGATTCAGAGTCCAGAGTGCTAANGCCGACGCCATCTTGGAAATTTATGCTTTCCGGAAATTGCGAGTTCTTTTTCCCTCCATTTTGTCATTTTTCGTACGAATTTTAATAACCAAATCTTGCATAACGTAGGTAACTTAATATTTTTTGATTAATAATTTATGAAAATTAAATACCTTAATTTAAATTAGATACGCTTCTTTAAACCTAGATTTGCTGCCTGTAAAAATACGGAATACGTTTTTATAATTTTATTTCTTACAAATTTCTTAGCGATATTTTAGAAGGTTGTTCCATTTGGCATGGAATTAAATTAATTTATCAGATTACAAATAATATTCGCTTGGACATTGTCTTTCAAAGAGACAATAAATGCGCTATATTAGAAGATTTTAATAATTAATTAATTAATTAATCATCTGGATCTTTTCTATTCTTAATAATTAAATTTTTAAACTACTGTAGGAAGAAGTATCATTCTCAAATGTTATAATCCATTTTCCAAAGAGACGTGGAAACATTTTAGAAACTTCTTTTACTCAAAACAATTAAAACAAGCAGCAAAACAACAGACAGGTAAGGCGTTTCAATTTTTATTCTACAACGTATATGCAGTCAAAAATTGTATATAAAAGTTTGAATCTTTATTGCCCAGTCTATGAGTTTATTATTGTAGAATGATGCTTGAAAAGTAATGTTATTCATTCACGCATTTCGCTATTCGGGTGAGACAATCTTCTAGTCCTCTCTGTCCAATTGTAGATAAAAGATTCACATTAGTCTAATAACACAATCTGACAACTGACGCGTATAATCCATTCAGTAGGACAGTAATTCCATATACTT